CTGCACACGACAGTGGAGGCTGCCGGAACCTGCTAAGCAGAAGATAAGAGAGGAGTGTGACCAGATGTTGCGTGCTGGAATCATAGAGCCCTCGACATCACCTTGGCTTTCGCCTGTAGTTCTTGTGAGAAAGAAGGATAATAGTGTGCGATTTTGTGTTGATTATCGGAACCTCAATGCCGTCACTGTTGCCGACTCCTATCCACTCCCCAGAATTGATGAGTTGGTTGATGAACTGCGTGATACACAGGTATTTTCCCTCCTGGACAGCAGATCTGCTTATTGGTCTGTCCCTGTAGAGCCGACTGACAGGCCGAAAACCGCTTTCAGTGATGGCTATCGCCTTTTTCAGTTTCAGCGAATGCCATTTGGTCTTTCTACTGCTCCCACAACTTTCCAGAGAACGATGAATGTGGTTCTTTCTCCAGTTCTTGGCAAACACACACTTGCATACCTGGATGATGTTGTTGTGTATAGCCGTGACTTCACTTCTCATCTTGGCCAGCTTGAGGAAACACTGAAGCTTCTTGACTGCGCAGGCTTTAAATTGAATATGGTCAAGTGTGAGTTTGCTGTACAACAGTTTCGCTTCTTAGGTTTCAAAATTACCCCTGAAGGAATTTTGCCCGATCCAGAGAAAGTTAGAAGTATCAGGGAAATGCAACCACCACGCAATGCCAAGGGAGTGCGACAATTCCTCGGGGCTACAGGTTTCTTTAGAAGGCATATTCATCAGTACGCGGCCATTGCAGCACCCCTCACACAGCTCACCCGCAAAGACAAGCCATTTAGTTGGGGACAAAAAGAACAGGAGGCCTTTAACATCTTGAAAGAGAAGCTTGTGTCAGCACCAGTTTTACGTAAACCTCGTTTCGAAGATCATTTCGAAGTCCATACTGATGCTTCACAAACTGCTATTGGTGCCTGTCTTATGCAAAGGGATGCAGATGGTAATCCAGCCGCTATTGCGTATTTTTCTAGGAAACTTCGTGGACCAGAGACCAGGTATTCTGCAACTGATTCTGAAGCCTTAGCAGTTGTAGGAGTAAGAGCCTTTGACGCATACATATATGGTCGTCAATTCACAGTGTATACGGATCATCGGCCACTCACTTACATATCTACACGTAAGACTAAAAGTCCTCGCATGACCAGGTGGGCTTGTGAACTTTCCCACTACCAATTTAAAATAGTTTATAAACAGGGAATCCAGCATCGTGTTCCTGACATGTTATCCCGTTCAGTAGCACAAATTGACCTTGCCAATGTTGACCCAACAACCATGCGTGAAGAGCAAATGAAAGACCCTCTTTGGCAAGAAGTCATCAACTACTTGGAGGAGAAGAACTTACCCAAGAAGAAGATTCCACTTACTCTGGATGAGTTTACACTTCAAGATGGAGTTCTCTACCATCTTCGACAGTTTCCTGCACATACAGTCCATCAGCTTGTTGTACCAAAGGTTCTTCGTAGAGCTGCACTTAAAATTGCCCACGACAGTTCATTTGCATCTCATCCTGGTATTTTCAGAACATATCAGAAACTTAAGGATCTCTTCTATTTCCCCAATATGATGCGAGATGTGAAAGCTTATGTTACAGCTTGTTCGACATGTCAACGACGGAAGGGAACACCACACAGGGCGCCACTAGCTACTGCTCCACAGGTATCTGCACCATTTGAGAAGGTTTCTGCTGACCTCATTGATTGTGGACAATCATGCAATGGGTTGAGGTATATACTTGTATTAATAGACCATCTCTCAAGGTACCTTCAGTTGATTCCTCTTCCATCTAAAGAAGCTGAGGTAGTAGCAGATGCTTACATTAGGGATTTTGTAACAATATTTGGTCCCCCACACCTTTTACAAACTGATGGTGGTTGTGAATTCACAAACAGATTATTCCAGCAGGTCTGCAGCATAGTGAAGACGAAGACTCATCTCACTACAGCATGTCATCCACAGGCAAATGGGATGGTGGAGCGTTCAAACAGGGTAATTAAAGAAGCTCTTGCAACCTTAACAGAACGGCACCCTCTGGACTGGCCCCAATATGTACCACAGGTTAGATTGGCGCTGAATAGCGCATTCCACCGGTCCATAGGCGACCAACCTTTATATCTGCTTATGGGTCATCATGGTCACTTTCCAGTTGGCCTCTCCAATGAGGTCACCTTTGCATCAGATTCTGCAAAACGCTTTAGTGATGCGCTGAGAGAAGCTCGTCACGTTGCCATTGAGACGTCCCGTCGTGCTCAAGAAACCTGGGCAAGACAATATAATAAGAGGGGAAGGAAAGCTCCCGAGATGGATGTGGGCACCTTAGTTCTTTACAGGAACTCCCGAAGACTAACTGGCCCTCGGAAGACTCTTGGATCTCGTTGGGATGGCCCTGCCCGTATCCTGAAGCGTGTTGGACCAGTGACGTATATCACCAGGGATGTGGATTCGCCATACAAGGAGCGCAGGTTGCACGCAAATCAGATTAAGCCTTTCAGAACTTTAGAGGAATTAGTGTTTGTGGATTCGCCCAGTGAACAGAGTACCTCTGCTGAAGGTATGTCTAGTGAACGGCAATATGATAACTCTGAAAGAGATCCGGACGAAGTGTTACTGTTGTCAGCTGTGCGCCCCAGATGAACGCGAAATACTTTCCCATGTACATTTTTGTTGTATATATATTTTTTTTCCTTTGTTTTCCCTGCTTGTCTTTTACTTTTATCATCTTTTTACTTAACTCTTACTTTTCAGCAGTTTTATTTTACTTCTTCCTTTGAGCTTACTTGTCTCCCGAGTATACTTTTTTGTTTTCCATCTTTTAGTCTTTATCTTTTATTTCAAACTTTTCGCTCGCTTTTAATTTCTCTTTTCATTATCCTTTTGATATGTTTTAGCCCTTATCCATCTGTCTTTTACCCTCTTTTTTCTCCTTTTTAACGTTTGTCTTTGTTTCATTTCCATTTCATTACCCCTTCATTTTATTTTTCCTCTGTACATTTATGTTTGTATTCCTTTTGTTTTGTGTTTTACTTTTGTACATTTTTTTTGTTTTACCTTTGTTTCATTTTATAGTTTTATGTTTCATTTTATAGTTTTAAGTTTACTTTTAAGTCTCGGGTCTGGTCATTGGTTTTTATGCTTTTGTTTTATCTAGCATTTAGCCAGTTTTATTTAGTTTAACGGGTTCTTCTTATTTTGCTTTAGGGGCCGGCTCAGTGGACATGCCCTTTATAATTACTATCCTTGAATATTCGCAGGTTCTGCCGATGCGTGGAAGCCGTCACAAGGGTTCTAGATTTCCAGGATGTCGTTCTGTCTAGTACTTCCAGATTGTGGTGGCTGTTACTTTCCTTTCTGCCAGCTGAACGTGTGCTGTAACAGGAGAGATAGTGGTCCGTACGTGACGAGAGATGAGGCTTGTTTGGCTTGCAGTTGGAGAAAAGTTGGGAGCGTGAATGGTCGTCTCGTCGCCGTGATCCCCGTGATGGTTTTGTCAAATTCTGCGCCAAATCGCCATAGGGAATGGGCGGGCCCGGAGCAGACCCAGGGATACATCCGAAAACTCGAGGACGAGTGGAGGCGACGCCCCGACCATCACTCCCGGGCCATGGGAGGAGTTGTAGCGAGTGAACTGTGTCAGTTTCCCCTCGTATCCGCTGGCCGTAGCCGATGAGGGTGCCCTCTGTGCGGCTGCGCAGGCCGATGTCCAAGAAAATCGATATAGCGCTACAATTACTGTGAAAAACTTAATATTAAACATTCACTATTGAAAATAAGAGACTGCACACTATTTTGCGCAAGGGAAAAAGGCGCTGTGAACGTTATTGGCAATGTGCGTCGATGTCACTGCGCAGGTGAAAACGCGCAGGCGAAAAACAATAGCGAAGAAACCGCCACTCAGGCCCGAGACTTCAGCGAAGTCAGAGAGAGGAACTTTTTATTATTTTTTTCGATTTTAAGCTATTCATAGTGTTATTATTTTATATCATTATCTTTTTGTATTGTGAGGCGGTGGAACACGACATCGGAAACATCAGAGACGCTATATATCTTAAGGTAATAGTTTTATATTGGTTATGTTCATGTACGCTGTCACTCCTACAGTAAAATACGGAACCCGTAACTTTGAGTTTTTTCTAGAACCCTTTTTATTTTGTATTTTATCAGTTTCAAATTCTTATTTTTACTAGAATATTTTATTTCATTTTATTCTTTTATTTTATCGTGAATGGCCTTGGTTTTTAAAGTGGTTTAATTAAGTTTTATGTTAATCTTTCGTTGGGTTCAATGGGGTTTTATTGCTTTGTTTTACTTTAACTTTTAATTTCATTTTTACGTTACTTTTGTCACTTTTACGTTTATGTTTTGCGTAAACCTGAGCCATATCACGATACGGAAAGCAACGCCAAAGATGGACATCTCTAAGCCTAAATTAAATGAGGAAGAGGGCCACACGCTACCACTTCAGGCCTTTCCTTCACTGTACACTGAAACATGGTGAAATCATCCGCAGAGTACTCTAATATATGTATAAGAGCAAAGTAAACGCTACAATATGAGTTTTATGTTTTAGTTAAACGTCATTAGGAGAGCATAATAAGAAAATATGTATTTGAAGTCAAGTCTAGGTCTCTGAAAATGGTTCAAATGCAATTTACAATTCCTCGTATCATTCTTATGTCCACGGCGCATGAAGGGGCAAGCCGCATCTCCATTTACTTGAGATTGAATTAACATGAGATCTAAATCTATCTCGTGTATTGTTAGTTTCTGCTTAAAGGATTAGATAACCTCTTTTTTCAACAGTAATTTTCAGAACTTATTACCAGTTTCCTTGTGACGTCCAACTCATGATCTAATGGCTAATTTTCATTCACTTGAATAGATATTAGATAAAGGATTTGCTTTGTATACTGCTCGTTTTTTATATTTCATTCAATCATCAGGTAAGATCAGCAGTTTGGTCGTACATGATGTGATAACGTATAATAAAAAACGCTTTTTCCCAAATAGGTTTATTGTTGCAGTTTAATTCAGTGAGTATTTCTGCTTCCTTTTCGTATCATTTGCAACGAGAATTTCCAAGTTTGTATAGATTTCCAAGGTTGATTTATACTTTATTGCTCTTGCTGATGTTCCATATATGGATATCTGTTTTGTCTTTACATGTATCTCCTGTCCACTATTTGATTTAATTTGTATAAGTCATAGACTTAAGTCGTTTTTTAACTATAGCATTGACAAATTACCATTTTAACATCCTATACAAACTAAAATACAAATACAATCTTTCGAATGTAGATTCTTAGGCTCAATAGGGTCTGCCACGGGATAAGGGTCTGCCACGGGATAAGGGTCTGCCACGGGATAAGGGTCTGCCACGGGATAAGGGTCTGCCACGGGATAAGGGGTCGGCCATAGGGTTGGGCATGGCACGAGCCGAACCAAGGCCATACAGGGCCATAACCACGCCAAAGAGGACAGTCTGAAAAAATAATGACCATATTTATTATGCTGGTAAACGATATGTTGATAGGGTGATTCTTATCCCAAAACACCTCATAAGTACAAGTGTTACTGAAACTTGGCAATCTGGTAGAAACGTTAATATATTTAGCAATATTAGACATCACGAAAAGTGTAATAACTACAACGTATGTCATTTACCAGAATTTACACACACGCAAATGATAATAAGCGTGCGTGCACACACTCAAACATATTCCTGACCTATATATCCCTATTATATATTAACCTATCTAAATATATCAATCATATATATCGCATACAGTATATTCCTATCATGCATATCACATACATACATACATACACATGTATACATACACATGTATCTGTATCTACATACCTACATTTCTACAGATATATATTTTCCACCTAGCTATACAAATGCACACCTATTTAGGCGTAGGAAAAAACACAACCAAACACATATTTCTGATTATTCTAAAACCTCAGAATCATGAATAATAATGTAATTTAAAACAAATATTTGGAAGAAGACCTCTGTTAAGCGTTTCAAAGGATTCAGAAATTTGATATTGGAGGAAGGGTATTTCATGCGCCCAGTACGCCTAAGAGATTTCTATGTGATAAGTTTGTCTATGTGAGAGGAATGGCGTATGGTGAAGTTGAGTACATTATTCCATGGTAAATCACAATATCTGATGGAAAAGTGTTTAGGAGATCTGCGATGAGCTTCTTTTATGCTTTCCGAAAGTGCCAAACTTCAGCTAAGTACCAATTGGCCATTTGTGGGTCACGTTCCAGTGAAATATCAGTTCAATTGTATAAGTCAACATATATATGGCCAGACTATTAACTGTGAAACTCACCAGCTTCATGGTGGCGCAGGCAGAATGTTGTCGCGGGCAGGTGAGGTGCGATCTGAAGCAAACTGGCTCTGGACCTTCTTATATTCGCTGCAAGACTCCCCCTACCCGGGGTGAGGGAGGGCTCTCCCTCGGGCTAATATCCTCACCACCAAGCATAGTAATAGCGGAGCGTTATACATGCTGTTAGTGGTATTTTGCCAAAGGTAAATATGTGAATTTTCCTCGTGGAAAACGAGGGTGTCGGATTTTACATCGAATATGGGGAATATGTAAGTGCGAAAGTTTAGAATTTATGGAAAGTGTGAATTATTAGACAATTTATCTGGGATATCTATTGCCAGCTTGTGAACTAGATATCCCTCTCTTGTCATTTGTTCAGACGATGCTCTTTGGTTTAGCTACGATCGTACTGTCTTACCCTTAGCCTGTGGCCGACCTTTTACCCCGTGGCATACCCTGACGCAGAGGTATAGCTTTACCTCGTTGCAGATCCTTACCCTAAGCCCGGGGCATACCCTTACCCCGAAGCTAAGCCTGAGGCTGACCACTTGTCCTTATTCTACAGACTTAACATTTCGAGAGACCAGACCCAATGAATACTCATAGGTATGGATGTTTTTAATATGTTTATGTACATATGTATATATATATAGTTAGATACAAATATAGATAGATATAGATAGACATATATCTATATATAGACAGACAGATTGGTAGGTAGACAGATATATAATTGTCTATTTGTAGCTTGTAATACCGCGCAGAAGAGAAGACTGAAAAAATGAATACCATTGAGTGATAAAAAGAAACCAGAAAAAATAGCAAGAAAAAGGAGAGAAAGAATAAAAGAAGAAAAACAAACAAGAAAAAATAAGAGAAAAACAACAACGAAATAAAAAATAAAGTAGGTAAAGAGAAACAACCTTAAAAACAAGGTAAAGGAAGAACAAAAAAAAAAAAGCTTAGAGAAAATCGAAAAAGAAAGAAGAGAAAAAAAGGGAAAAAAATTAGAAGCTAAAAGAAAGAGAAAAGAAGAAAAGCAAATGAAAATAGAATAAAATAAAATAAAGAAGAAAACAAAGTAAAAAAAAAAAAAAAGAAGAAGCTAAAAGAAAAGAAAATAAAGAAAAGAAAACGAATACAGATAAAAGAAAATGAAACTAATAATAATAATAATAAGTGAAACAGAGAAGGAACACGAGGAGAGCAACCTCTCCACTCTAGGATAAGTATGACGTACACACACACACACACATATATATAGATGTATACATATATATGTATATATACACATATACATATATAGAAATGAATATATACATATATATGTATATATATACATATGCACACGAACATAAATATGTGTGTATATGACACACTCACACACATACACAAACAAACACACGCGCGCATGCACATACACAAAACACACATAAACACACAGGCACATACATATATATACATATATACATGTATATATGTATACACATATGTATATACATATATATGTATATATACGTATATACATACACTCATATATATGTATGTATAAATATACACACACACTCACACACACATATATATATTCATATACATACATATATATACATATATATGTGTATATAAATAGATATATGTATGTATATATATGAATATATATACATATATATACATATATGCGTATATATATGTGTGTGTGTGTGTAAACAGACACACATACGCACACACACACATAAATACAAGTATATATTTATTTATATATATGTACATATATATAGACACATGTATATGTATACACACACGTACACATACAATATGTATATATATATATATATATATATATATATATATATATATAAGTATGTACATATATATGTATATATATATGTGTGTGTGTATATATGTACACACACAAATATGTATGTGTATATATATATATGTATATATGTATATATATACATACTGTATATGTATATGTGTGTGCATACATGTACACACAAATATGTATATATATATATATATATATATATATATATATATATATATATGTATATATGTATATATATACATACTGTATACGTATATGTGTGTATATATATACACATATATGTGTCTATGTATATGTACATATATATAAATATATATATATATACTTGTATATATTTGTGTGTGTGCGTATGTGTGTGTGTGTTTGCACACACACACACACACACATATATATATATATATATATATATATATATATATATATATGCATATATATATACATATATATATATATACATATATATATATATACGCATATACGCATATATATGTATATATATGTTCATATATATACATACATATATTTATTTATGTACACATTTATGTATATATATGAATATATATATATATATATATATATATATATATATATATATATGTGTGTGTGTGTGTGTACGTATATGTTTATGTATTAACACATGTATATGTGCATGTATATATACACACACACACACACATAAATATATATATATATATATATATATATATATATATGAGTGTATGTATATACGTATATATACATATATATGTATATACATATATGTGTATACATATATACATGTATTTATGTGTATATATATATAAATATATATGTGTGTATGTGTGTGTTTTGTGTATGTGCTTGCGCGCGTGTGTTTGTGTGTGTATATATATAGACATATATGTGTCTATATATATGTGCATATATATAAATATATATATATACATACTTGTATATATTTGTGTGTGTGTTTATGTGTGTGTGTGTGTTTGCACACACACACACACACACATACACAGACACACACACACATATATATATATATATATATATATATATATATATATATACGCATATACGTATATATATGTATATATATATACATACATATATTTATTTATGTACACATTTATGTATATATATGAATATATATATATATATATGTGTGTGTGTGTGTGTGTGTACGTATATGTTTATGTATTTACACATGTATATGTGCATGTATATATATATATATATATATATATATATATATATATATGAGTGTATGTATATACGTATATATACATATACATATATGTATATACATATATGTGTATACATATATACATATATGTGTATACATATATACATGTATGTATGTATATATATAAATATATATGTGTGTATGTGTGTGTTTTGTGTATGTGCTTCCGCGCGTGTTTTTGTGTGTGTATGTGTGTGTATGTGAGTGTGTGTATGCATGTGTATGTGTGTATGTCATATACACACTTATTTATGTGTGTATATGTATATATATTTATATATATACACATATATATGTATATATTCATATATATATGTATGTGTATATATATACATATGTATATATATATATATATTCATTTATATATATGTGTGTGTGAGTGTGTGTGTGTACACCTACGGAAACGTACACAAAAATATACTGGTAAAAAAAAAAGCTTCGTTTTTTTTCTTTTCTTTTGATTTTACTTTGTTTTCTTCTCGTCTCTTTGTTTTATTTTATTCTAGTTTCATTTGCTTTTCTTCTTTTCTCTTTCTTTTAGCTTCTCATTTCTTTCAAATAGACAATTATATCTGTCTACCTATCAATCAATCTGTCTGTCTGTATATAGATATATGTCTATCTATATCTATCTATATTTGTATCTAACTATATATATATATACAAATGTATATATATATATTAAAAACATCCATACCTATGAGTATTCATTGGATCTGGCCAATCGAAATGTTAACAAGCTGGTCATAAGCCTGTAGAATAAGGGCAAGTGGTCAGCCTCAGGCTTAGCTTTGGGGTAAGGGTATCCTTACCCTAAGCCCGGGGCTTAGGGTAAGGATCAGCAACGAGGTAAAGCTATACCTCTGCGTCAGGGTATGCCACGGGGTAAAAGGTCGGCCACAGGGTAAGGGTAAGACAGTACGATCTATATCCAGAAGGCCAGACAGGATCGTAGCTAAACCAAAGAGCATCGTCTGAACAAATGACAAGAGAGGGATATCTAGTTCACAAGCTGGCAATAGATATCCCAGATAAATTGTCTAATAATTCACACTCTCCTTAAATTCTAAACTTTCGCACTTACATATTCCCCATATTCGGTGTAAAATCCGACACCTTCGTTTTCCACCGCCGACAACAGCCACCCGTGCTGGTAAAGAGGCTTTGCGATTCGCTTACACCATGGCAACAGGAGCGCCTGCTGTCAATCCCACCGCCACGGTAAGCACCGAGTGTCAGAACAAAATGAGACAGCCATAACACAGGCCGGGCCATAGCCGAAGGCCCGGGCGAAGCTAGAACTTCGCAAATCGCAACCGCGCGCCACTGACCCACTTCCCACGAGCACGCCGCGAGCCCGCGACCTCCAGTGCAGGCGCGCTCTCAATGTCGTAGGGCACACGTACCATACGCACCGAGAGATGGCCGGCCGCCTTTCAGCGCAGCCTCGTGTGGCGGAGGGGAAGCACCGCGCGCCCGGGTACACCCACGCCGAATACGAGATTCAAGATGGCGCTGGGCCACCCTTTACCTCTTTCCTATTTCCAAACAAATCCACTACAACTATTTACCCTTATCCTTCCCCTATCCCCCATTCTTCCTAACCACTCTTCTTTCCAGACTTTTCTTTTTCCTTTTATACTTATAGAGATGCACACGGATATACACACGTTTATAGATATATACGTACATGAACACGTTTATGGACACAATTACACACACATGCTTATAGACAGTCGTTATTCTAACGTGGTGTAAGACCGTGTAGAACAAAAATTAATAAATAAGAACATTTTTATGAGAAAAGGGGAACGGCCCACTTCCCATCCTAGTAAGGCTTAGGTTCTGTCTATTTGTCTGAGTGATGATATGAGTGTAAGAAGAACAATTACTATCAAACTAAAAAGGACTTCAAGAAAGTGAGGCTTCGCTTTAATGATTACAGCGGTCAGGTCAATGGAAACACCAGAGGAAACATAACACAGAATTTACTACAAAGGCACTATTTACACTAAACGGAACATGATATTTACAATACAGCAGGATCCAGCGGAGCAGGCGAGGTCACATATCGGAAGGAACACACAGGTCAGAGTCACGGGACTGTGATGGATTTTGGGCTGGTGCTCCTTTGAAGTGTCGCGCTGGTGTAAAAGCCGACAACCTCGTTTCCCACGAGGTGTGCAAACCAATCGCAGGAGACCTGAGACTCAGGTACGCATCGCCGAAAGCCTTGAACAATCTCACAGTTGTGACAAAGAACAATAACAGCTGATAACAATATTTACAATATGAGCTACACCCAAAGAAATTCACATATTTACCTTTCGCAAAATACCACTAATAGCATGCATAACGCTCAGCGGGTGCCATTCTTGGCGGTGAGAAATTAGCCTGAGGAAATGCCCTCCCTCAGCCCGGGTTGGGGGAGTCTTGCAGTGAATATAAGAAGGTCCAGAGCCAGTTTGGTTTAGCTCGCACCTGACCTGCCCATGACAACATTCTGCCTGCGCCACCA